CGAGAAAATGTGTAAAACTAATAACATCGATTTGTTATATTATAAAGGATCTGTATCGATCTGTAAATATGATGGGATATAATGCAGTGGTATGTGAATTAACTATAGATTTTGCAAACATTGATATGAAATAGTTGTAATTATTGTTATTTACTAATTTATAATATCAAATTGAACAGATGAAGTATTGATAAACTCACAATATTTTTTCATACAGTGGTTTAAAGGTTTAAAAAAGGTTTATTTTTGTAACCACGTTGACGTATTGGTAGCTATATTGTGCCTTTTAGTGTGTATGAATAAGAAACAATGCAAATACATACTATGGAATTGCGGGATTTACAAAATACCTAAGTTACTTATTTATGATTTTGAAGTACGATGTAACAATATTCATGTATATGTTATTTATTTTATAAAGATTTTTCTCTTTTGCAATTATTGCGTACTTTACATCTTATAATCAATCCTAACAAATTTCACTGAACCTTGTACATTCCTAAGCATTTATTAATAATTCTGGGAAAAGAGAATATAGTAATATATATAGTAATATATATATTATTTATATATTATTATCTATATCATGGAAAGGATATATCATTAATGTTGTGGGTATACATAAATAGATATTTTTTTTCTTTAATTTTATATAAAAATCTCACTATTTAAATAGACTGACTTAAGGCTATTTAAGTTTTCATAAGAGCTATTTAAATATAAAGAATATAAAATTTCATTTTAAAAAAATAAGAATTTCCTTTGTATCTTAAAAAAATTAAGTGTAACTTTATGTGACCCATTTTAGATATAAAAAGGGAAAGATTGTATATTAAATAAATTACAAAAGATTATAAATCCAAGCTCTTTATTTATTTGTTAACATTTTATACAGACAGGTGGCAATGTGTCAAAGTGTAATATTAAAATTTGATTTTTAACTTTTAAAATTGTAAAAATATAAAAATCTATTTCTTCTTAAAACTTCAGTCAAAAGTGATATTATTATATATAAAATTATTCAATATTTATAAATGATACACAGATTTACCAACAATTATACATAATTACAATTTTAATATTTCTTAAACAATACTTGGAAAATAGTTGATATATAATTACACAATGTACAACCAGAAACAATTTATTTAACATTTTGTACTGTTACATTCTATTATGCTCTCTCTGTATTCGAGTACTATATGTTTTTGATACAAGATGAAATGCATCCATATATCGATCCATACACATTGCTACACATTTCTGTAAGTAAATTAAAATTACTTACTATTATTAACAGAAATAATTTTACATCAAATATATTAGTCTTCTATTTTTATTTATATTATACACAATATAATTTAACTTAATACACAAGAAATAATTTAAGAATAGATTATTTAAAATGAACGTGAAAATTATATACGTAATTATATTAATATATATACGTAATTATATTAATATTATATACGTAATTATATTAATTTCTTTATATTCCTTATTTAAAATAATATATTATTTAAAAAATTGTTTATATTATACAAAGAATGAGTAATAATTTTATAAAGATCATTTAAAAAGATATTTTATCACTCAATTTTATAAAATATTTATTACATTTTCAGTTTGTTCAAATAATTTTTACTGCAATGTTCATATGAAAAAATGTTTAGCTTTATTTTATATTTTTAAAAATTCAAAAGCTTAGTCAATTCAAACTTGAATTTTTAAAAATTTAAAAGGTTATATTTTACATTAAGGTTATGCATGATATATTCGATGAATAGGTTACCTGCTCGGTATTATCCAAAGAAGTGCCAGGTTTGAGCACACATTTTTGGAAGCATTTTTCTGTCATTTTCTGAAAATATGAAATTAAATATATGCTATTCATTCATTTGAAATTCGTATAATATATTTCTGTAATCGTACCGAAAGCATTTCTTGGGCATTTGCAACGGCAACTTCTTGTTTGATTTGTTGCATAAGTTCATTTTTTTCTTTATCGGTTAAGGATTCAGATGTAAGGGGATTCATATTTACAATAAAATATTAAATGTTTTCTAAGTAACAATATTAAAATCAAAATCACTTTATTCTGGTTATCAAATCCAAACTACCATGTTCTTACCGGTTCGATCGATAAACCGGAAGCACGTGAAACTGCCTCATAAAAGGCTGTTTACAACGATTCGTTGAGTGATTGTAAATAAAGTTTTTTATGTAGTTTGTGTTTTGTGTAATTTAAATAATTTACGTGTTTTAGTAATGTCGGTGAAGAAAGCACATTTGGATTATTATGTTAAAAAGTCATAATTGTACTATTAAGATGAATAACTTCTAATTTGAACATTATCTTTATTTCATCAACCTAAAATTATAATAAATTTAACATAAAAGAAACAAAATATATGAATACATAAATATTTGTTCAAATTTTCCAATGATTTTAATTGCATCATAATAATACTGATATCGCAACATTATATTATCATAGAGACATTCATGATGCACGTATTATATATAAAATGAAAAGAATGCCAATAGTTGGCAGCACTGTTTTTAAATCAACTCGCGGTTGCACCTACATTAAATACAAAATTGAAACGCTGTAAAATGCTGTTTTTTAAATTATATATATTATTTAAAAAATATATCAGTTTCAAGATTTCTGTTGTTATTTTATAATTCGACACGTTATATACGTTCAAGATGAAAAAAAATGTTAATAAAAAGAAGCGATTGAAACTTCATGCTGAAAATCGAGACAATGTTGTTTCTGAATTGCAACGTGCATATGCGAAATACTCATCCGATTTAGGTTGCTCGATAATTATTACCTTTGTTAATAAATTTTAACAATTAAATTTAATAATTATGCTCAACAATTCTAAAATATTAACAAATATCGATGCAGGTAATTTTACAAGTAATCTATCAAAAACTGATGGAAACTCGTATTCGTGTGCTGTCAAAGATCTTTTAATAGAAATGACGAGGAAAGAATTACAAGGATGTAATGACAGTGGCAATACAAATTGTTATCGGTGTAAACATTTGTTGAATATACCTCGAACCTTTGAGAAGATATCGGACGATACTGAAGAATGTGTGGCTGATTTAAATTTTGTACAAAGTATAGTTTGGTTAAGATCAGCCATATTGTTTATGAAAACCATCCCCGTTGAACAGTTTCATTTAGTATTTTATAAGCAATGGAAGAATACAGGTAACAATACAAAGTCTTAATATTTAACATTTTTAATAAACATTTTTTATAGTACATTAAATTATATTCGATATATTGCAAAAAGATAAAAATTATAATGTAGTTTATTAACAATAGCATGTTTAAAATGATGTACCATATATGTACTATGTTTTGTAGAAAAAGATTTTCATTTTTATAATCAAGATTCATCGCGTGGTATTGAAGAAAATGATTATGAAAATTTGAACAGTCCATTGAGTAATCAGAAAAGCGAATTTCTTAGTAGCGTCGATTTGTCGTATAATATGCGCAATGAACAATATAGTACATCCTACGCGCAACAAATAAATCAAGAAACTGAAACTTTCTCTCAAGAACGAAACAATTCTTCTGTTTTCACTTCGTTTCAAAGTCTCGAAAAATTTTTCAATGCAGAAACTTGCACGCAACAGGGCGCTATTGTAAATAATTATATTGTTCAAGATTCGGACAAGAAATATTCCTCTGACTCCAACATGTTCAGAGATTCTCCGAAAAGTGAAAGCAATATTAACGAGAAAGATTACGAATTATTGGAAGGAAGCGATCTTATCAATGGAAAATCGGCAGATAATTTGTCATTATTTTCCGAAAACAGTGATATATCAAAGACAACTTTTAATAATAATAATGATTTTTTAGATATTGCATTATCTAACGAGAGTTTTTTATCATATGAACAGAACTGTAGTCAGCTAAGAGAACAATTAACTTCAGAATCGAATAAACCGACACAACAAACGTGTGATACGATCTTTCGCAATGAAATTCCTATCATTTCACCGAATCAGATTAATGATGTCTATTCTGCCAAAGAAGATAGTGCTTATGATACCTATCAACTAAGTATAGATCGCATTTGCGAAAGTAGAGACTTCGTTGCATTGCCTAGTCAAAAGATTGATAACATTACTCCTTATGAAAAAGAAGATATTCCGAGCGATATACATGAGAACAATTGGGCTTCCGAACAAAATTCATTTTCTTCGCAATCGAAGAACAGTGGAAGCATAAACGATAAAGCTGTGGAATCGTGCTCGCAGAAGTATAAAATAAATTTGATCGAAGATACGGAATACGAAGAAAATTGCAGTAAGAGAAAGAAACTAAAATCTGTACATGAATTGACCGTATCTGAGACTAGTAAAAAAAAAGTGAGAAACATCTCTACGGAATGGCTGAAGTTTACCCTTGATACTCTAAATGTAGACGATATTGCTTTTCAATCGATGAAAATGATTCTCGCAGTTCTTCAAAGTGAGAAGATAGCCAGACAATATATGAGAAAAAGGTGTTGGAAAAACACTTTAGAGGAACAAGCTGTAAACGCGATACTGGATTACTGTGATATTTCTGAAGCTGAAAATAAAACTAATCTATACACGCAGGAAATTGTGCAGGTAGTGACAAGTATACTGGATAAGAGTATAGAAACTGTTGAGCTCGATAAGGTAAATTATAATTATCATTAAAGAATTACTTGGATTTCTAATAAACTACTACACATGTTTTAAAAATTTCACTTGCCCGAAGTAAATTCGTTCATATATTTTTAAAAATGTACAAACAAACAATTTATTTTAAAACGTAATTAAAAAGAAACATTTCTATATGTATTTTATATATTGTAAAAACTCTTCCTGTGAGTTACAATTATATTGTTATAAGTGCATACAGGATGTGCAAACTTAAACTAAAAACTTATTTCGCAAAACAAGAAAGACATTCTATTAATATTTAGATTCGAAATTATTATTATTTTATTTAACGTTATACTTTATTTCTTTAGGTTACAATACTGATTCATCAAATCTCCATTATTTTACAACTATGCATTTCGATAAAAGTGTGCGTTGAAATAATAAATTATCTAACTGTAAAATTAAAATTCTACGAAAATGTTTTAATCACTTTGATAAATAACAAAAAAGCCGATGTACATAGTATAATAAATCAGTTACATGTTATCTTCTATTCTTTAACTTTTTGTTTACAAAAATATCGATCAGTTTTCTGTAATAAAGAAACTGATCAATTTGAAGAAGACGTGATACCACCTGTTGTTGATTTATGGAAAAAACAGTTAAATTTTGAAGGTGTAATAGTCGAGGATACTAAGCAAACAAGAGAACGAAGGTGGTTAATGATTTTGAGCGATTTTACACTAGTAGCTATGGAAAATTTCGTACAATTTGCCAAAAAATCACAGAAATTAGTTAATTTGCTGTCTAGTAAGTGAGTAAATTAATTATACTTTAAATGCATCATTTTAAATGTAATTTTAACATATCAAATATTAAATATTATAATATTTTATATACAACAGTTGTAAAAAATATTTGCGCGTATATTTATTATAGCATTTAATTAAAAAAAAATCCAAGTATGTGAATTTCATTTGATAATATTTTCATACGACTATAAAAATTTCATATGATTATAAAAATGAAAATATGCCGCACTGGAAGTTAAGAATTATTTTTAAATACTTTCTCCGGCCACTGTGTGTGTATAAAAAATGTTATAATAGTTTGTACATTGTAAATATGATTTAATAAAAAATAAATTCTGTAGTTTATTTGAGTTGTTTCTCGTAAAAATTTTAGAATTATTGGTGAATCATAATGCGTAGTATTATAAATAAATTATAATAATTAATTAGTAATTAATAATTAAACATTAATCTAAATCGTTATCGAAGATATTGAGATTTCTTTTATAGAGAACCACATAGTTGACACGAGGACAAAAGTACGAGATAATTGAAGAGATATAATTATATACCTACTTGTGATAAAAATTTAAATTAACAGGAATTGTTAAGTAAACTAGTTATTAATAAAAAAGTAAGCATAATACTTCTCGATGTATGCCATACAGATCCACTATAAATCGTATTGTTTAGTCTTACAGGCTTATCGGGCAGATTAATCTTTTTCCAATTACATAATCGTTCTGCGTTTTGCGGTAACATGTCTAGTATCGAGTACAAAAATGTTTTAATCGGGCAAATCTCTGTGCAATTTGGCATTTTCAATGGTATAGTGATACCATCCATTCCTGTGTAGTAATTAATCTGAAATAATAATAATTTTAATAACATTTAATAATCGTCATCGAGAAAATACTTCAACTTTTAATTACATCATTCTTTCTCAAGTGCATTTTTGATTAATTTTTTTGAAAGAATGTACCTTCACTCCGTGACTTTGTGTTTCATTGTCAAAGTACAGTTCAAAAATCACAGAAGCGGCCTCGTTAGGGATGTGCGGCGACCATAAGTTTAAACCCTTTAAAACACCAACGATATTTCGCTCGTTACCGCTGTATATCATAAGCTTTCGCTCTTCGGGAATTTGTCCATTGATATACATCAGCGAATTTGCTAAAATTTCCTTCAGAATCGTTCCCCCATTTAATTGCTTTTGCAACGGGGTTTGCCAAAGTAGATCGTACTCTAGCAACGACACATTGTACATTCCTCCGTCAGGAAAGATATCTTCTGCCCAGTGTGGAAGAGATTGATTCAAGTCAGCCTGGAATAACATTTACTTTCACTTGTAGTTTTTTGAAGTTTTATTTCAATCAAACACGACGAGAGACACTCGATAAAGTTAAGCAGAAAAATGAAATATACAATTATCTTATCTCTTAAGAGTTCTTACACACATGTATGACTAATAACAATAAGAATGTATGTATCAATTGTATACATATATTTACTCGTCTCTTTCAATTTTTTATTAATTTAATTTAATTTTCCTTAATTTACATATCTCACTTTTGTCTCGAGAGCAGCGTACAACAAGGCTATTTCCGATGGCCGTTGAACTTTCATTCCAGTCGACTGTGATATGTGATCGAATAAAGATGAATAATGCGTCAATCGTTCTCGCACTTGGACCATATTCAATACTTTTTCCATTTCGAGGATGAAACTCGGACACTGTGTTCCCAGTAACAAAGTATCTTCTCGCGCCAGTGTGTAATCTACAAAATTGACAGATCACAATATTTCTCTGCCAGTTGTTTACCAATTTCTCACAGGTATTGTATATTTGTTTATTTGATTGTTTCGTTTATTTGATTGTAAAAACGACTTAATTAAAATTGTATTTTGTCTCGTGCAGAGTTAAGATTCAACTAAGTCTTTTGGATACCTACCTGTGGGTATTGGCTGCCAGTTCAAATCAATACTCCATTGTTGAATCTTTGCCGGTGGCCAAAGACCTGCATTCACTAATTGACCAGATAGCATTGACAATGGATATTCGGCCGTTTGCATTTTCATCGTCTCGCTTGTGTAAACGACGCCCAAAAATTCATCGTACACATGCCGCAGATGGACTCCCAGTTTGTACATGTTAAGCATGCCAGTCTGTTAAGTAAAATTTATCTAGAGTTATTATTACCGAATAAACATTAATAACAAGCAGTTGCAAGTTAATTGATACTGAATACGTTGAACATTAATTTGGAAACGTAGATGTTGTGTTTTTAAAGTGGCACACAGGATACAAAGATAGTTTCAGAAATTTCAGCCAGAGATCAACAGAAAATAATAAGTTATCTCTGATGTTTGCTTTTGGATTCTCTCCTATTATTTGTTTAGATCTGTTGTTTGTTTAGATCTGATGTTCCCCAGAAACTTTTTTAGAGAGAAGATATTCAAAAGAATTAGATCATGAAATTGTTCTACGACTGAATAGATAGATAAATTCTTGGATGATTAATAGGTGATATTGATATTACAAAGATTGATTCTTTTTCCTTTAAAAAAAAAAAAAAAAAAAAAAAAA